TGAGGTTTTATACTAAATGTATTTTTGTAAGCCACTTTATTGAAGTATGAGTGACATGTACAAAACTGTACATATTTAATAAATACAACTTGATGAGTTTGTGGATAAGTATACACTTGTGAAACCAACCATCAAGACTAAAGACAAGCCCAGCACCTCCCAAATTTTCCCTTGCCAAATTCTTATTATGGTTACTTATGTGTGTGTGGTAAGAAAAATAAGATCTAAAATCAATATAAGACCTGTCTTCTTAGGACATTTTAACGATGCAATACAGTATTGCTATATCTAGGCACTGTGCTGCATGGTAGCCCTCCAGGACTTATTTTTCTTGCATAATTGGAACTCTGTACCCTTGACCATCATCTTCCCATTTCTCCCTCCCTGCAGCCCTGGCAACCACTGTTGTATTATCTGCTTTTATGAGTTTGATCTTTTGAGATCCTACATACAAGTGATATTATACAGGATTTGTCTTTCTGTGTCTGACATTTCATTTAGTGCCACGTCCCCCAAGTCCATGCATGTTGTTGCCAATGGCAGGATTTCTTTCTTTTTGAAGGCCAAATCCTCTCTCAAAAGTTTCTGAAGTGCCCTGCTTGCTAGTCGAGATGTGTCTACCCTGTTCTCATGGGGTAATCTTTCTGTCAATGCAGCCTAAGGATCTGAAACATAGTGAGTCCAGGTGAGCTTTTCTGCCTCTGATGAGACAGGCTGTAGTTGATGGGGACTTGGTGAAGGTTTTTCTTGAACTCTCCCTGAGCCTATTATTCCCTCAGACTGCCTTTTCCAATTTTGGGACAGAGGGCGGGTGTCATCTTTGAGAACATGCACACTTTTATTAACTAGCCTTATTTCTTCAGGCCATCCTCAGATTTCATATCTCCCTTATCTTTTGGCCACATGACTTAACCTCTTTCTTTGTTAGGTTACCAATCGTTAACCTTTTACTCCTAAAAATAGATGTACTTAACGTGTATGTTGTGGGATTCGTTCTGTGACATGGCTTCTTCACAGAGGCAGCTGTGTTCATCCATATCCTACATCCTTAAATGGTAAATATTATAATCAAAAAATTAGCCAGCTGTTTGGGGGCCTGATATGGAAGGATCTCCTGGGTCTGGAGGTCAAGGCTGCAGTGAGCCATGATCGTGCCACTGCGCTCCAACCTGGGCAACAGAGTAAGACCTCAACTCAAAAAAACTTAAAAAAGAAAAAGAAAATGAAAAGGAATGGTGACTCTTTTAATTTTTAAAAAATGTTTATCTTGAATCCAAAAACCCTTTAAAGAGAAATTCTATTTCACAGGAAATTAGTAGCTGGAGAATCAAGCTAAATATCATCACCATAAGGATGCATCTAGACAAATCTAGAAGGCAGGATGTTCTGTAGAACCACTCACTCAAACAGTTTAATAAATGTCTTTAAAAGGGGACTATACTAGATTAAAATGAACTTAGGGAACATGCGTGGTCCTGGATTGGGTACTGATTTGGGTACTGATTTTCCTAGAGAAATTGTAATTCGGCCTGGAAACAAGATGAGAATAAACTGAAACATAAAGACAGAGAGTGTTGACTAAATAAACCAGGTTATGAGACAATTTTTAGAGTATATCTCATTTTGATTACCCACACACACATACACAGAGTTGCTATAGTGGTATTCTTCAGGAGGTAGAAATATGATGGGTTTAAAAAAAAAATTGTCTGTATTTTCTAATATTCTACAAAACATATGCACTGCTTATGTAATAATAAAGTGTTTAAAATAGTGACATAGATTTAAATAGAACAGACATACCGTGAAGATAAAAATTAAGCTTTCAGGCCTATAACTCACATTGGGCCTTCTGAGGCCCTGGGAGGACCTCTCATAATATCTTTAACATACATTTGTGGGGTTTTTTATTTTAATTTTTGAGCTCTTTGCATCCTTTTATTGTGGTGAAATATACATAACATAAACATACCATTTTAAGTGTACAGTTCAGTGGCATTACGCATATTCACACTGTCTTGCAACCATCACGACCACCCATCTCCAGAGCTTTTTCATGGGCTAAAACGGAAACTCTGTGCCCATCAAACAATAACTCTCCATTCCTCCCTCCATCTAGTCTTCTTTTTAAGGGTTTCTGAAGTCATATAAGCTCTAAGCTCCATAAAACATGGGTCCAGTCCCAAATGACAATGAGAAGTCCTGGTAACTTCTGTGAAGACTTTGAAATGACACCTTCCGCTGCCGAAGTGACCTTCAAAGGACAGTCAGAATAGCTGAGGTTGTCACCAAGGTTCAATTCTCATCACCAAATGTGCCAGGATCAGTGATGGTGGCAGCACTAACATCACTGGATACACAAGGAAGACAAAAAGAATGCTTTCCCAAATTATTGGAATATTTATGTAACTACCCCCAGATACTACAAGATTTTCATTCTGTGTGTGTGTGTGTGTGTGTGTGTGTGTGTGTATGTTGGAGTCTCACTCTGTTGCCCAGGCTAGAGTGCAGTGGCATGCTCATGGCCACTCAGCTTCAACCTCCTGGGCTCTGGTGATCATTCCGCCTCAGCCTTCCAAGTAGCTGGACTTACAGGCACATGCTACCACATCTGGCTAATTCTTTGACTTATTGTAGAGACAAGGTCTCACCAAGTTGCCCAGGCTGATCTCGAACCCCTGAACTTAGGTAATCCTCTCATCTCAGCCACCCAAAGTGCTGAGATTACAGGCTTGAGCCACTACGCCCAGCCGATTTTCAATCTTAAGCTCCTGGTTTCCTATAAATTAACCCCTTTTCTTCATTGCTTAGAATTATGGGTACATAGTACCATCATTTGCTGTCAAACAAGTCCTGGAGAGTACAGAGGAGCTTTCTATAGGTGTATAAGCTGGTTTTAAGCCTGACTCAATATGACAGAAAACCCAAATGTACTTCTCTCATACATAAAAGGAGACTGGAAACACACAGTTCTATTCTGCTAGGGTAGTTTTATGATCATTGAGGAAGCACTGCCCTTTTACCTTGCTATGTCACCATCCTTAACTTGCCACTTCATGGCCCAGTGGGGCTGCTTATGCTCCAGCCATCAAATCTTATTCCAATTAGAGGAAGAAACAACAATGAAAGAAAGCAAATCTTCTTCCCACAATGATTCCTCACAGAAATTGCACCTAACACTTGAGCTTACATCTCCTTTGCCAGAACACTCTTGCCTAGCTACAAGGGAGGCCAGGCAATGTCATCTTTCCTCCAGAAGACCTTGTGACTAACTAAAAACCAGGTATTCATTAGCAGAGCGATTGAGAGAATGAATGTTGAAATAGACAACTAAGCATCTGTCATACAGATTTTAAAAGATTCAATGTGCTAGTTTCTGAGGTTTGGTGGGGTCCTTAGGAAGGGGTAGCATCTTAAACATCAATGAGACAACTGCTGAGCATCTTGCTTAGAGCTAAAAACTCACTTGCTCACAATTAGCTTTCAAGACTGGCTATTCAAGTGGTCTTCCACTGAGGGTTGATGAACATCATAGAAATAGGCTTAACAGACCTGCGTAGAAGAGAGAAAAAGTCATCTTCCCAGTCGGCTTTTGGATATCTCATTGGCCAAACATATCCAAGCCATATATCTAAACCGATAAGCTTTATTGCTGTGTTTAAACTTTGTGAAAACAATACACCAGTCTATTAATTACCAGTGCTTTTAAACCATGTGTTTCCAGGCTGTTTCCAGAGAAATGCAAACCACAGGATGGGGTCTCTGACCCCATCCTTAGAGAGTGTGACCATAAGGATATTCTTCCTACTTGATAAACAAAAGAAAATGAGGAAAGTGAATTTTCTGTTTGCTTGTTTGTTTGTTTTTAGAGACAAGGCCTTGCTATGTTGGCCAGGCTGGTCCTGAACTCCAGTCCTCAAGTGACTCTCCCACCTCAATCTCCCAAAGTGGGATTACAGGCATGAGCCACTGCACCTAGCATTTATTTCCTTCTTTCTTTTTTATTTTTTGTAAAGACAAAAAATTGAGTTCAAAAGTTGCTTTCCTGACCGGGGAGCTGTAGCAGGTGCTTGAGCAGGAGTGTGATCTAAATAAATGCCCAGGTGGGAGGGCTGATGACCCAGACAGCAAGAGCCTCCTGGCCTGTTAGGCCCCTCCCTGACTTTATAATGAAATACAGAAGTCAACCTCCATGCTTGACCTTTGTACATAATGGCTGTCAAACTCTTTCTAAATTAGTTGCATTTGACCTTGATATGCAACTGATATGTTATGTAATGCATTCTGGAATTTTTTCCGAATGAGAATCCAGTGTCTCCTGGAAATGGCCTTGAATAGTGGCCAGCCTGCTTGGTTCTTTGCTCCTGACCTGGCTGCAGCAAAGTTGGGGCTTTTTTTTCCCCTCTGGCTTGGAGGGGAGGGACACAGTCTCTCTCTTGTTGATCGGGCAGGGCTGCTGCTCTTCGGGGCTCTTTTCCTCCCAGCTAGCCCCCTCTCAAAGCCAGCCTCTGGGTAATAAACTAATTACATCTCCAGCTCCTTCAGCTTGACCTCCTAAGGGAAATCAGTCCCTGGAAGTAAGCAGCCTGCACAAAGCAGGCGTCGACGACCGCCCTGAGACTGCTTCCATAACCAGAAAGGGCTACCGCTGATTCACCGTGGTGTGGGGAGGACACGTCATGAAAAGCTTCGGAAAGCTGGTTCTCAGTGGACAAGCAGCCCTTAAAGTTGCTTAGGGATAGGCTGCATTCACAGTAAGGGGAGACTAGAGGCAGGAAGGGCATTTTAGCCATGGAAGGAGCTTCCCGACAGCCCTTGCTTCCTGCCTGGCTCACTGCTTTCTCAGCAAGTGCTAGGAGAGCCATATCCAAGAAGGGCTGGGAAGGTCAGGAAATAATTAAGTCACAAAAGCTCTTGGAAGGAAAGGGAGGCTCCTCTGCCCTTCCCTTTCCTGCAGGCCTGCCCTGGGTTTTCATGATGTCATCCATTCATCATTGTGAGCTGACTGGTGGTCCCAGGGCTTGGCCAGCTGCCCAAGGCCAGGAGGGAGGAGAGAGATCCCAGGACAAATGTGCAGAAGGGCCCTGAGTATGTGTAGAAATGTTGTCATCAGTTCCCCACAGAAAGACTTGGTGGAAATGGAAGAAGACAGTCAAAGTCACAAGATCTTATCCAACCTTCTCTTCCCCGAATGCCTGGAAAGCATTCCGGGGCCTCTTGCCTGTGGATGGGGAGCCCAACCCTGGAGTGGGCCTGGGTGTGGTGGAGGGGCTGCTCTGCCAGAAGGTCCATTCTCCAGAGTTCAACCTGTTTCCTGACTCAGTGGTGTTTGAAAGCAACTTTGTCCAGGTACTCTTGGGTGGCTAGGAATAGCACTTTTAGGTTGTTGTCAACTTGTCCTGAAGATGTGACAGGGAGTCCATCCCTGGGGCTAGAGTGAGAATGGAGCAAGTTCCAAGCCCACAGAGGCCCAGAATGCAAAGTCACCCCCATGACTGGGGTTTTACAGAGCCCCTGGCAGGGCTTTGCCTGCAGACCGTTGTCACTTGGGGAGAAAGGTCAGACAATTTCTGAATCCTCCAGTTTATTCATGCTCCCAAGCTGTCACCCAAAGGAGATAAACACAGAGGCCATGAAAAGAGATGCCCTTTAAGAGTTAAGAACAAAAAATGCTCATTGATAAAAAGAACAGGGTCTGAGGCCTCAGAGAGACCTGGGCTGGATTCCAGCCCTTTGCTTTCTCCTTGGGAGGTGACACTGTGCAAGTAACCTGTGCACCCCAGTCTGCGTCCTCTCGTATGAAAGGGGTGGATTGACCTGAGGATCAAATGCAAATACAGAGAGCAAAGTACCAGGCTATTAGTCACTCAGTGCATTTTTGTTTCCTGCCTGGGCTCTCCTCAGGCCAGACGGAAGCTAGCATCAAAAGAATCTAGAATCAAGCTGGGTATGGTGGCTCACACCTGTAATCCCAGCACTTTGGGAGACCAAGGCAAGAGGATTGCCTGAGTTCGGGGGTTTGAGACTAGCCTGGTCAAATTGTAGAGACATAGTCTCTACAATTAATCAAAAAATTAGCTGGGCATGTTGGCGCATGCCTGTCATTCCAGCTACTTGGAAGGCTGAGACAGAAGGATTGCCTAAGCCCAGCAGGCTGTGGTTGCTGTGAGCTTGCCACTGTACTCCAGTCTGGGCAACAGAGTGAGACTTTGACCTGAAAAAAGAAAAAGAAAAAAAAGAGGCCAGGCTCGGTGGCTCAGCCTGTAATCCCAGTGCTTTGGGAGGCCGAGGCGAGTGGATTGCCTGAGCCCGCGGGTTCGAGACCCGCCTGGGCAACTTGGCGAGACCTCATCTCTACAATAAGTCAAAAACTAGCTGGGCGTAGTAGCGCGCGCCTGTAGTTCCAGCTACATGGAAGGCTGAGGCGAAAGGATCGCCGGAGCCCAGCAGGTCGAGGCTGCGGTGGCCGGGAGCGGCCACTGCACTCTAGCCTGGGTGACAGAGTGAGACTCCAACTCAAAAAAAAAAAAAAGGAACCTAGAATCAACAGAACCATGGACTTGGAAGGGACCTTCCTGTTCAGAGAAGGTGCAGGAGATAACAGGGCCTCTCAGAGGAGGGCCCAGAGGACACATTTTTCAAAGAAAGGCCAGGAAACATCCAGGAAGGATTCACAGAAACATGATCTGTGCCAGGGAACTCCAAGTTAGAGTTCTTGAGGGCATGTATTAATAGTAGGCTGTTTAAATACTATTACAGTTGTTAACCAATACAGGTTAAGACAGGTTCTCAACAAGCTATGATTTTTGGCCCCCACCGTCAGGGGACATTTAACAATGTCTGGAGACATCTTTTGTTGTCACCACCTGGAGGGGAGGGTTGTTGCTAGTGTCTAGTGGGTAGAGGCCAAGCATGCTGCAAAACATTCTACAACATGCAGGACATTCCCCTCCCCCCAACAAAGAATATCTAGCCCAACACTTAGTAGTGCCGAGATTGCAAAGCCTTGGGCTAAAACATACTGCTGCTCTTGCCAAATGCTCAGGCCGTGCCTGGGGGCTGTGTTGCAGGTCAAAAGGGGCAGGAATTGGCTAGACATCCACAAAGCCTCAGACACCACGGCCCTCGGGGTGACCTCCTCTGTGCCCTGCCTGCCCCTTCCCAACATCATCCTCATGGCCAGCGTCAAGTGGCACCAGGGGCAAAGCCAGACGTGGAACAGACCATCCACAGCTCCCAGCATCTTCCTGAAGAGGTGAGCAACGCAGATAGGGGCAAAAGACAAGCGAGCTGAAGGTAGACCCAAAGTTGCTCAGGTTGGTCTCCGGCTCCTGACCTCAAGCAATCCTCCCGCCTCAGTCTCCCAAAGTGCTGAGATTACAGGTGTGAGCCACCATGCCCAGAAGTTTTTTTAGACAACAGTAATCCCAGACAGAGGGTGCACTGGAAGGACAGAGGCCAAGTGAGATAAAGGGAGGTGTCACACAGACAGGACTGAGGTCACACTCTCCTTCTCACTACACTCACCCCACTGAATTCTTAGGCAATCTCCTGGCAGTTGCCCAAGGGGCAAGGAGGCAGCGAGGTCTGGCAGAGGGGCACTGTTGGAGGAGGGAGGTTCTTTCTAGTCCTTGGTATGCAACTAACTCAACTCCATTTGTGAGTCACAAGTCGTTTGCTGCACCTCAGTTCTCCTGTTGGTAAAATAAATGGGACTGAGTCTTATTTAGAATTGTAACATACAGTGACATCATGCTTGTCTGGGATGAAACAGCCCTTTTTGATGTCTGAGCCTCTTCAAGGGACCTGTAGGGTATCTCAAGTATCTCTGGCTATTCCCAGAAGCCAAGGAAAACCCTCTCTCTCTCCATGCTTTCTTAGTGACACACCTCTCCAAGACATTTTTCTTATACGCATAGCAAGTACCGCCCAGTTCCAGTTGACTAACTTTAGATCCCAAGTCAGCTCCTTGCATCTCAGCTCCTTTGGGAAAAGTAACTGAGGCATTAGGGTCAATGAACGGACAAGTTGGACAGCCGCCCAGGTCCCTTGGTGCTACCAAGAAGAAATGATAAAACCCTATGACTGCAGCCACCTTACTTCTAGGCTGTCTCTCTCAAGCAGAGTCAGGGAACACTGGCCTAAGAATCATGGCAGGATGGTGGGTGGATGTTTAAAGCAGATTCCAGGGCCACACCCCACAGCTCCCCATTTTGAATCTTTGGGAGTGTCTTCAGGTGACTGCATCTTAAACCAGCTCCCCAGGTATACCTGTTCTCCTCAAGGTTCGAGTACCACTGTGCTAAGCACTCTCTCTCCTCCCCGCAAAAGCCTTAGTCCCAAAGGAGACACTCCTAATTTTAATGAAGATAAGCCTGGATTAGAAGCAATGGGGTTGTCACTGTGTGTCTTCCCTGGTGGCTTCAGGATCCTCCCATTGAAGTTTGTGGAGCTCCAGGTCTGTGACCGCCTTCAACGCATCCTGCGACTGAGGACAATCACTGAAAAGATCTATTACCTAAAGCTCCACTCCGACCATCCTGAGACTGTCTTCCACTTCTGGATCCAACTGGTTGAAATTCTGCAGAAGGGTTTGTCCATCACCACAAAAGACCCTAGGATTCTTGTCACTCACTGCCTGGTACCCACGGACTACTGCAGCCCCTCAGGAGACGCTAAGGTGAGTAAGCACCATTGCCAACCTTCAGCGAAGGCTGCGACTAGATGTCTGTGAACACTCAGTGAAGGGGAGCTCAGCCTTAGGCCATTTCTAAACAGCTATACTGAGCCATCATTGACAACTGTAGGATTTACCCATTGTAAGTATTCAACACTTCTGGTAGGTGATAGAGTTGTGCAGTTGTCACCACAATCCAGTCTCAGTACATTTCCATCACCCTAGAAAATTCCTTCATCCATTTACAATCAGCCCCTGTTTCTACTCCTAGTTCTAGTCCACCACTGATCTGTTCTGGGTTTGTATAAACGCATCCTTCTTAGACATTTCATAAAAGTGGGATTATACAGCATTTGTCCTTTTGTGTCTGACTTGTTTCACTTCACATCATGTTTCTTCACGTTCATACTTACTGTAGCATGGGGCCAACTCCAGGCCTGGGTCACAGGTGATCAGTAGTTCATTCCTTTTCATTGCTGAATAGTATCCCATTCTATAGATATACCACATTTTGTTTATCCATTCAACAGTTGATGGGTATTTGGATTGTTTTCAGTTTGGAGCTATTATGAATAATACTGCTATGAACATTTGTACGGGAGGGACCAAAAAAAATGGAATTATTTTTTAGAGGGCAGGCTCCTTGTAATACAGGCTTCCCCTGCTAGGTAAGTGTTCTAAGAACCCATTAGCAACAGTGGACCAGCTAGTGTTGTTATGAGAGGCTGTGTTTAGCTTCAGTGCATTTCTTTTTGGAGATGCAATGCATCTTCCTGTTTCATGGTGGGTGGCTTATGAGTGCATCTGCCCACACCTCGCTGAGTGTTCAGCAGTTTTTGACCAAAAACAGCATGGCCCTGGTGCCCTACCTTTCCTATTCCCTGAATCTTGCCCTTAGTGACATTTTTTTGTGTCCCTGGATTTAAAAAAAGTCTGCAAAGGGAAATGTTTTGCCAATGCGGAGGAGATGAAACAAAAAGACCACAAAAGACATACTCGGCATGAAAATGCACAAGTTCAGAAACTGTTTTGAGCAGTGGAAAAAGTGTATCAACAGGTGTATTGCATCAAATGGAGATTACTTTGAAGGTGACTGAAATTTAAACATGTAAGAATAAATATGCAATTTTTAATAAATAAACTCTGGCCTTTTTAAAATTCCCCCTTGTATACAGGTTTTTGTAGATATGTTTTCACGTGTCTTGGATAGACTCCAAGGATTGAAATTACTAGGTTATATGGTAAGTTTATGTTAACTTTTAATAAAACTGGTAAATTGTTTTCTGAAGTAGCCGCGCCATGTCACATTCTTACCAGTGATACATGAGGGTTTCAGCTTCTCCATATCCTCACAACACTGGTATTGTTTATCTTTTTTGTTATAACCATTCTAGCAAGTGTGTAATGATTTTAATTTGGGTTTTCCTAATGACTACTGATGTTGACCAACTTTTCATGAGCTTATTTGTTGTTCATATATCCTCTTTGGTGATATGCCTATTCACATCTTTTGCCCATTTTAAAATTGGATTTTATCCTCTTATTGTGTTGTAAGAATTCTTTGTCTATTCTGGATACAAGTCCTTTATTAGATATCTAATTTGCAAATGTTTTTCTCCGAGTCTATGAATTGTCTTTCATTTTCCTAATGATGTATTTTGAGGATTTTAAACCTTTTTTTTTTTCTTTCTTTTTTTTAGTTGTAGTCTCTCACTCTGTGGCCCAGGCTGGAGTACAGTGGCATGCTCACAGCCACTGCAGCCTCGACCCGTTGGGCTCAAGCGATCCTTCCTCCTCAGCCTTCCAAGTAACTGGAACTACAGGCATGCGCCAGCTAATTTTGTGATATATTGTAGAGATGAGGGCTCGCCAAGTTGCCAAGGCTGGTTTCGAACCCCCAGACTCAGGCAACTCTCTCACCTTGGCCTCCCAAAGTGTTAAATCTTGATGAAGTGCAATTTATCAACCTTTTATTTACTGGATCAGATTTTTGCTGCATATCTAAGAACTCTTTGTTCAAATCAAAGTCACAAAGATGTGATCCTATGTTTTCATCTAGAAGTTTTATAGATTTAACTCTTACTTTTAGGCCTATAATCTATTTTGAGTTAATAATTATGTGTGAAATGAAGTGTCTAAGTAATTTTTTGATTTTTTTGCATGTGCATATGTAATTAACCCAGTACTGTTGAAAAGACTATCCTTTCTGCCTTTGAATTGTCTTGGCATTTTTGTCAAAAATCAATTGATCATAAATGTAATAATTTATTTCTGGAGTCTCAATTATGTTCTGTTGATCTATATGCCTCTTCTTGTGCCAATACTACAGTGTCTTGACTAATGTAACTTTATGTTAAGTTTTGAAAATGAATAGTATAAGTCTTTCACTTTTATTCTTTTTCAAATTATGTTGGCTATTCTAGATCTCTTGCATTTTCATAAAAGTTTTGGGATCAGTTTATTAATTTCTACAAAAACAAAAGCCTGCTAGAATTTTGATAAGCACGGTTGAATTTATACATCATAGGCTAGGCTAGGTGGCTCAGCCTGTAGTCCCAGCACTTTGGGAGGCCAATGCGAGTGAATTGCCTGAGCCCATGGGTTTGAGACCCACCCGGGCAAATTGGCAAGACCTCATCTCTACAATAAAGCAAAAATTAGCCAGGTGTGGTAGTGCACACCTGTAGTTCCAGCTACTTGGAGGGCTGAGGCAGAGGGATCGCCGGAGCCCAGCAGGTCAAGGCTGCGGTGGCCGGGAGTGTGCCACTGCATTCCATTCTGCGCAACAGAGTGAGACTCTAACTCAAAAAAAAAAAAAGAATTTATACATCATTTTCGGGAGAAGTGCCATTTTGACAATATTGAGTTTTCCAATACATGGTTATGGAATGTCTTTCTATTTATATCAATCTTCTTTCCTCTCTCTTAGCTATGTTTAGTAGTTTTCAGTAAACAAATTCTGTACTTCTTTGTTAAATATATTTGTAAGTATGTTGTTGATGATGCTATTGTTGACTGGAATTGTGGTTTTGTGTTTGTTTTTTTAGAGACTAGGACTAGGACTACAGGCACATACTACCACATCTGGCTAATTGTTTATTTTTTTGTAGAGATAGGGTCGTGCTTTGTTGCCCAGGCTGATCTTGAACTCCTGGGCTCAAGCAGTTCTTTCACTTCAGCCTCCCAAAGTACTGGGATTACAGGCATGAGCCACCATGCCCAATCATCGAGTCCTGGATTTTCTATAAATATATATATATATACATCTTGTCATCTGCAAATAAGGACACTTTCACTTCTTCATTTTCAATCTGGATTTGTTTGTTTATCACTTTATATCGCATTAACTAGAATTTCCAGTACAATGTTTAAAAGGCAAAAGCATACATCCTTGCCTTGTTCCTAATCTAAGGGAAAAAAAGTTCAGTCTTTCACTATTAAGTATGATGCTAATTATGGAATAGTAGTAGATGTCCTTTATCAGGTTGAGGAATTTCCCTTCATTCCTAGTTTACTGAAAGGCTTTTTAAAAAATCATGGGTGGGTATTAGATTTTGTTAAATGCTTTTCTGCACCTATTAAGATGATCTTGTGCTTTGTCCTTTGTTCTGTTAATATATGAGTAGTATGGCACATGAATTGATTTTTTTTTTCATGTTAATTGTGCTCCTACAATAACTTCCACTTGGTCATGGCAGCTTTAATCCTTTTTATATGTTACTGGATTCTGTTTGCTAGCATTTTGTTAAGGAATTTTGCATCTATGAGAGATGTTTTCATGTAATTTTCTCGTGATATCTTTATGATAATTAGGCTTTGGTATCAAGCTAATACTAGTTTCAATGAAGGAGTTGAGAAGTGTTCCCCCTTCTATTTTCTGAAAGAGTTTACGACTAAGTGTTCCCCCTTCTATTTTCTGAAAGTTTACGACTAATTGTTTACGACTAATATAAAGAATATTTAATATTCTTTAAATATTTGATAAAATTCACCAGTGAAGCTGCCTGGGTCTTCTTGCCTCAAGCCTTTGAGCATGATGAATGTAAGCCTGACTTTATAAGCCACAATGTAAACTCCCTGAAGGCAAGGATTTTCATCTGTCTTCTTCACTGCTGTATCTCTACTACCTGGCATATAGTTGGTATTCAATAAATACTGAATGAATGAACAGATATGTGCCACATGTACAAATGGAGCATCTTTGGAATACCACAGTAACAAGAAAAAATAATTTTAACCAGGTGTAAAAAGCAGCTCAATACAGAATTTTTAAAGAGAAATTAATTGTTTAATATTCATTAAATTCTTATAGCAAATATATGATTCTTCTCCATTTACGTATAAAACCAAGTAGCATAAACTTTATTAAAGTGTATACAGATAGGTTATTTATAAAGTATGTTACATACATTAATAGGAATAGGTTATCTACTAAATTATGTTAAAAGTATGCAATGAAGATGTTACCCTTGACTGGGGGTAGTGGCTCATGTCTGTAATCCCAACACTTTGGAAGGCTGAGGCTGGAGGATTGCTTAAGCCCAGGAGTTCAAGACCAGGCTAGGCAATATAATGAGACTTCATCTCTATAAAAAATAAAAAATATTAGCTAGGCGTGGTGGTGAGTACCTTTGGGAGGCTGAGGCAGAAGAACTGTGTGAATCCAGGAGGTCGAGGCTGCAGTAAGCTGCAAGTGTGCTATTGTACTCCATCCTGGGTGACAGAGTGAGACTCCAACTCAAAAAAATATATATATGTATATATACACATATATATATTACCCTTAAGGCGCCGAGGGGTATTTTATACCAATACATGGGGTGTAAGTAAACAGGTGTAGCCTCAGAATTGCCTCTGTGAGCAGCTGGTGGGCTGAACTATGGAAGAGTTTGACTTTCAACACTTTAGAGTCCAGACCATGATGTTAGGAAAATGCAGAGACCCCAGGGCCTTAACCACCTGGTTTCACCTTTTTTTTTTCCTCCATGTAGTTAGTACAGAAGAAACTTCCAGCCTCCCAACCCAGCGAGAGCCTTATTCAGCTAGTAGCCAAGGAGGAAAGTGAAGTCCTGTCTCAGATTCTTGCCGACTTACACCAGCAGCACCAGCCCAGGTACAAGACTTAAATCAGACCAGTCCCTGACATTTCTTCCCGCAGCGTGGATGGCCTGGGCCCTGAGGTCCAGAAACCAAATACCTTGGTTAAGGAACACAGGGGTGGGTGTATGAAATACTGCCACACTCCACTCTTTATCTTTAACTCAGGACAACCATTTCCTAGTAATCTCAGCCTTGTTCACCTTCTCTGCACAGTAAGCATGGTAAGCTTGACTCCAGAGGAGGAATTGTATAAAAAGTGAATAGCAACTCTTCAATAAGAATAAGTAACGCCAGTAGAAAGCAAAACCTAATTTCTTATGCAGTTCCTAGTCTTATAAAGAAGTAACTAAAACGTGTGCAAACTATTGTCTACTTACTGACTACTCACCTGGTCTCTGCTTGGACTATGTGGAGTATCTTTGGTCATTTTCTAAATATGTAGTCTGTTCTGGAATGCTCCATGGCTTAGACCTATCTTCTCCATGCCTGAGGAAGTGTCTCGGTGTATACAGATGACTTAGTATTGATCCCAAGACTGGTTGGTATAAGAGAAACAGGAGTTGAGAGCACTTACACTAGCGGGTGCCACAGCCAGAGTACCCAGTCTCAGATAAAGTAGGATCCAGGATCCTAGTGCATGTGATTTACTGAAAAAAGGACAAGAGAAATAAATTAGTAAATGTCACCGGGGAGAAAATGAGGCACCAGAGAGAAGGAAATTTTTGTCACAACAGGAACCAGTTGGACCAGCAGCTCAGAGGCAGAACAAATCACCTTTGTTTCTGAGGGTTGGCAATTCACTGAAAACTGCAGAACTTGGAAAAAGCAATTTACTATGGTGGTTAAGCACTCACATAGGCCAGGCATGGTGGCACATGTCTATAATCTCAGCAATTTGGGAGGCAAAGGCTAGAGGATTGCCCGAGCCCAGGGATTCAAGACTAGCCTGGGCAACTTGGCGAGACCTCAACTCTACAATAAATCAAAAAACGAGCCGGGCATGGTGGCGTGCACCTGTGGTTCCAGTTACTTGGAAGGCTGAGGCGGAAGGATTGCCTGAGTCCCACAGGTCGAGACTGCGGTGACTGTGGGCATGCCACTGCACTCCAGCCTGGGTGACAGAGTGAGACTCCAACTCAAAAAAAAAAAAAAAAGAGCTCACATAGACCTAGGTCCAAGTTGCTACTCTGTGCCCTTGAGCAAGTTGCTTAACTTTTCTGTGCTTTCGTTTTCAGATTTGTAAAATGAAAATGATCATAGTACTATCTTCATTCAGGTATTGTCAGGATCAAATGAGTTCATAAAGCATGCTCCTCAGCAGACTTAGAGCAATAGAAGTAAGCTTTCAATAAATATTACCTGCATTATTAACTGCGTCTTAGGCTGGTGGGAGAAAAGTATTAATGCAAGAAAAAGACATTACCTGTTGCTTGGTGCAAAGAATGAAGATTATCACTCCACGTAGCATATAGAGAGCTGTAACTAGGAAGCTTCTGGAAAAAATGTCACAATGCTGAGCTAGAAGGTGCTGGACTCATCATGATATTTTGAAGCAACTTTTTGGATGTCTCAAAACATCACATCACTAATGTTTAAGTTGTGATTTAAAGAACAGCTTCTGTTTGTTTAATAATATCTCATTGGCCACTACTCAGCCACCTGGCCATGCAGCTGCAAGGGAGGCTGAGAAATGCATTCTCCATTCTGCATAGCCATGTGCCCAGTACAAAATGAGGTGCTCTGTCCCTGAGGGAGAAGGGAGGATGGCTTACTGAGGGTCAACTGGCACTTCTGACCCAGACAGCCTTTAATATTTCCAGAAGGTCAGAAGAGGCAAGACCTGAAGTTGAACTAGGCATGAGACAGATAAAGGATTTAGAAGGTCCAAACAGGTTAGGGGAACAACAGGTGCAAGCCGGAGGCTTCCCCCAGAGGAAGAAGCTTGGTGAAGTTAGAGTGGTAGAAAGGAATAAGGAGAAATGAGCACAGGCTGAGCCAGTCAAGCGAAGGAGTCTTGACTTCTTGTGTCATGGGAGCCTCTGCAGCATTTTAAATAGGGAAGTGACGTGATCCAATTTACATTTTGAAAAGGTCGTGCTGGCTGTTGCCTGACACTTCATGTGGAGGGAGGAAGAAGGGATGTGGGGAAACCAGCTGTGGAGCCCTGGCAACCTCGTCTGCCTGGGCTGTCACGTACCAAATGGATCAGAGGGATGCAAGGAAGGGGCAGGAGGGAACAATTCATTTTCACTTCACTGTTAGCTCAGGTATTCCTTTATACAGACATTTAGTTCCTTTTTGGCTTCCCAGCATGCCACCCTGAGTAATGATTTTTCTCCTCATTCAAGTAGGTTCTAGTCTGATTTTTGTGGTTATTCTGTTTTTGTACATTGACAACACCGTGCAACTTAACAGCAAATAAAATAAATGGCCGAGGCTGGGCGTGGTAGCTCACGCCTGTAATCCCAGCACTTTGGGAGGCCAAGGTGAGAGGATTGTCTGAGCCCGTGGGTTCGAGACCAGCTGGGGCAACTTGGCAAGACCTCGTCTCTACAATAAATAAAAAAAATAAGCCAGGTGTGGTAGTACATGCCTGTGTTTCCAGCTACCTGAAAGGCTGAGGTAGAAGGATCACCTAAGCCCAGCAGGTCGAGGCTGTGGTGGACGTGAGCGTGACACTGCATGCCAGGTCGAGGCTGTGGTGGACGTGAGCATGACACTGCATGCCAGCCTGGGCAACAGAGTGAGACTCTGACTCAAAACATAAATAAAGAACTAAGTAAAATCAATGGCTGAGTAGCAGGACTGAACAGATGGCTTCACCCACGCTCCTCCTCAGCAAAGTCAGCAGTGTGGGCTCTTCTCCCCCATCTCCAACCGGGTCCACCACCCCTTTCCCTATTTTTTTTCTCCTGGAACTTTAAGATACGTCACATCCATCCATTATAGTCATGGCTAGCCTTTTTCATATTTATATCTGTCTCCAAAGCTTTTGCATCAGGAGCTTTGAAACAAGATCTGAAATACGAGTTTGATGTTCTTTTCCTTTTCTTTTCCTTTCCTTTTGACTTTCATTTCCTTGATCCTGAAATGGCTGGTGTTTCAGGAGCAGCAAAAAGGCGGAGACCAACAAGCACAGCTCAGGTAAAGGTGGGCATGGGCACGTGCCTCGGATAGCTTTCTGCTCAGTGGCTGTAAGAATAAGATCCCCTCCAGCTTCCATTCAGACTTTCCCGGTGCTATCAGGATTGTCACTGTCCTTCCATGCCTTGGTTTGAATTCTTCTGGCCTCTTTGACCACCATGGTCAATTTGGTACCATGTCACTGGTATGTCTTTGCAACATTTCTTCTATTCTTCACTTCATTTCTATCCTCACAGACCCCACCCTGGCCCAACCCTTCTCCTCCCAGCCCGCAGCAATCCTCCACTCATTCAGTCATTTATTCATTTAAAAACATGCACTGAGCAGTTTGTATATACCAATCACAGTGGCAGGCTTTGGGGTCACCAGTAGAAAACTGCCACTCCCCCTTCAAGGAATTTATATTGGGGTGGAGTCAGATGGAGAAATTCCCAAATTACAAAACCTCTCCTTCCAGCAGCATTCAAAGCTCATGCCTGGGGTGCCAAAGGAACACAAAGAAGGGGGTTCCTGACTCCTTCCAGGGATCTGACCCGGGAGGCATGGCTTCTGAGCTGTCATAGGATATGAGTACAGTGAGCTGGCTGGAGCCAATGAGGCAGGGCATTGCAGGAAGAAGAAGAGACAGAGTGTGTATGAGGGAGCATGGCTCATTTTGGAAACAGCAGCCAGTTCCCTATTTCCAGGTTCCAGTTCACCCCAAACCCGCTCAGTTAGGCACGCATGGTCCTGCATAAATCTTCTCTGTCTCACCCACCTCACCTGATCTAACATGAGTCCTCAGCCTGGATATCTTCTCCAGCTCAAGTTTCTACCCTAGCAAGCCTTAACTATGCTCTCACACCTGCTTCACTCCCTCTGTTCCCTTTCCCCTGATGCCCCACTGTAAATTCTCCCTATTCCTCTCAGTTCTATCCTTCACCACACCATTCTGCCCAGACTAATCCTTCCTTGGTCATGACCTCTCTTACATCACTCTCTCATTGTTTCATAAGCTCAAGGCATATTTGTTTAATGAGTGCTAAGTTGTTTTCATGCCTCTCAATTATCCACAAGTGGCAAGCACAGGGCTGGGAACACAGTGGGAGTTCAATAAATATTTGTCTATTTAATAAATATAAATTATTTATATAAAGTAAATTATTTATATTTATTATATATAAATAAAAATAAGTTATTTTTTTCACATTGGCTCAGGAGGCAACCAGAGATCACAATATATCTAGAAATTTAGAGGAGACTGTGGACCCCAAGGGATCACTTTTATCTAAGCTTTCATTTAAACCAGAGATTATGAACTAGTACATCTGTATATACATGATGGAATATTATGCATTCATAAAGGACAACCATATGGACTTCACAGCAACTTGGATGCATTTAGAAACTATAATATTCAGTGATCTATCACAGAAACAAAGAACTGAGTACCACATGTTCTCACTCATAAGCTGACCCTGAACATGTACCATAAGATTATAAGGAAAGGATTGGCAGTAGCAGGACTCTTCCAGAGGTGGGGGGTGGGGCACATCACATCAATAAGGGCACCCGATCTCAAATCAGGCAAAGTGGGGGTCAAAAGGAGGCCTAAACTTTACCTGTATGCTGACCACTTGTATTCCTAATACTGAGTTGGACCCCACATCTTTAAAATAAAAATTAAATTAAATTTAAAAAACAAAATAAAATAAAGCAGGGATTATGAATTCATATGTCTGCAGGTGGCATAAATGGGTAAAGGTCTGGGTGACATGGATATAAGAAATGGTATGAGAAAAAAATGGTATAAGAAATTCTATGAGAAGTAAAACAATCACTGGCAGCGGACACTTGGTTTCAGCATTAAGGAGATAGTAGGGAGTGGTGGGGACAGTGGTAATGAGAAAGTGAAGTTTTCAATTAAGCCTTCAATTAATTGTTGCCATGCTGGATCCCAGACCAGATACTCTCATTTTTCAAGAGGAGCAAAAAATCTGGGCATACATAGCATACCCCCCTTCCCATAAAAGCTCAAAGCCCAGTATAGGCCAACCTTTAGTGGGCAAACACAGCATATCTGCAGACCACATTCAGCCTGCAGGCTGCTGGCTCACAGCCCCTGCTCTGAAATGTCTAAATCTCCAGGTCTTGGGATGCATTCTCATGTTATGCGACTGATGACACAATGGTGACTTATTCCTCTTTTTACACATAAACACACACATACATACACATAAATACACTCACTCAAAACATACCCCATGAGATTAGCATTGAGGAAAACAGAAACAAGAATATTTCAAATATACTTCTGGAACTTGAGAGAGCTAGAGTTTCAGGGTAACAGGATATCTGGCATCAGGGGAGCCACAATGACCTCAGTGGTCCTAGGCCGATTTCAGTGAACCATCCCAGGATGGCTTCTGGGTCCTCTTTTCTCATTGGGCCAGAGAGCACACCCTCTCAATTTGGAAGGACAGTTACACCCCAGCCTCTTGGAACTTTTAGGTGAATAAAGAGAGAATGACAGAAAACCAGAGGCCCAAAGCTTACCTGTGTGGCTGAATCTTTCAACTCCCCACCAGCAGGTGGTATGGCCTATTACTACAGTGCTTCCCAAACTTGAATGTGTAAATAGTCCCCTATGGATCTGGTTAAAATGCAGATTTGTGGCCAGGCCATGTTTCCTGATTTTGGCCCCCTCCCCTCCCTTGGGGAGGTAAATCCCCTATTTCTCTCTCTCTCTCTCTCTCTCTCTCTCTCTCTCCAATTTACTTTCTAAATAAACTATATTTTCCAATCTGAAGAAAAAAATGCAGATTCAAATTTCTTAGGTCTGAATGGACTTGAGATTTTCCTTTGTAACTCACTCTCAGGTGATGCCAAAGCTGCCGGGCTGCAGGCCACCCTGAGGAGCCAGGGCCAAATGGACCAAGAACAGGTTCTGGCTTAAGGCCTTCTGGGTTCAAAGCCATTGCCAGTTCAACTAGCTGAGCCTCCTGGGGAAATTCACTCAGTTAACCTATCGTCTCTCCTTGTATCGGCACTGTCTTGTTCTCTTATGTAGTAGTATGAGCATGGGCTCTGGATCTGGGCTGCCTAGCTTTGGACTTTGCCTCTGCTGCCTCATTTTGTGACCGTTGGTAACTTGCCCTCTGTAGGCCTCAGATTCCTCATCCCTAAAATGGGGATGTTGGCAGTACTGACCTCACAGATTTGTGGTGATTAAAGGAGCATGAATACATGTAATTGTTTGAACCGTGGTTGGCACATGTTGGTTGTAACCTGAGTGCTCTGTGGACCAGAATACAAACCAATGCATTCCTTTTCTTGGTTTAGAGAAAGAGACACCCTGTGAAGATAGCATCCCTTGCACCCGTGACCTCCACTGGAGGGATTCGTTCATGAACGGAGAGTGGGAAAGAGAGAACCCGTCCGGGCCACAGCCCCTCTCACTCCTCAGCACTCTGGCAGCCTCCACCAGGCCACAGCTGGCCCCACCCATAGGTACAGTGACGGGATGGATGCCATCAGGACATTGCCCTGGAATTCAGCCTCACGGTGGGGTCAAGTCCTGGGATCCTCAGGGTGATTTCAGAAAGCTGTGGAGTGGGGATGAGGGGATGCAGGTCACAGCGACCTCAAACTTCTTTTCCTGCCCTGACATTCTCTGCCTCCAACTGGGCTGAGAAAACCCTGCAGTGTGGGACCTCCAGGGGCCCCCAGAGTTCCCACAAATGGCACTGGGGGGGACAGAGATGAAAATGAACACGGTCGCTACAGTTTGAGCTGCTTGTTGTGTGGGAGGTGTGAGGGGCCTTCTCTAGGGAGTTCCCTCTTCTCTACAGCTCCTGACAAGCCTTCTTGCTACTTGGGGTGAGGGGGGGAGCAGGTGAGGAGGACTGGAGTGGGGTCAGACTTCCCTGGGATCCTAGCCTTCTCTTTCCATGCTCAAGACTCATGCATCCGTCCACTCATTCATTGAACAGACATTTGTGAAGCTATGTGCCTCTGTCTGACCAGAGACAGATTTCTAAAGAAGGCAGGGGTAATTTATGTTTCCTAAAGTAAAATATTATTAATAAGCCAACCCCCATATAAGATAACTGTTATGAATAGCCAACAATTTTTAAAAATTAACGTAAGTATCTCTATGCTCACAAAAGAGCTTGTTAGATCATTTATTTCCTGTTGGTCACTTTTCTCTCCTGCATTTCCAGGAAACTTGATTTGACCACCTCGCCCTGGGAAGGCTATGCAGTCCTCTCCAACAGCACTCTGCAGTGTTCAGCTTCTTACATCAGGATGGAGGGGAGGCGGAAACTGTAACTAAGGGAGAACTCAGTCATCCATGGGGACAGCATAGCCTTCGTTCATTCCAGCTGGTAACTCTTGTCCTCGCCACCACACCTCAGCACACCGCCCCCCTTTACGCCACCGCTAAAGCGGGCAGGGGAAGATGTGTTCTCAGAACAGCCTGGACCAAGAGGAGAAGAGTGAAAGGGAAGCAGGGCCAGAGGGGAAGTGGAAGAGAGCCAAAAGGAGGTGAGGAGGAAGGAGGTGGGAGAAAGCCAGAGAAGAGGAGAGACACGAGAGAAGCATAACAGAAGGAAACGGAAGAGACTTGGCAGAGAAGATGAAGAGGGCAAGAACAGAAAAACATCCCCGACAGATGCCTCACCAAGCTTCTATTTATCTAATTTAAAACTTGGAAGTAAAACCATAAACCCAAGAAAGCAATGTGTTTTCTTCTCTACTCAGACCACTCTAGACAAATATGAGGCCAGACTCCTTCAGTTTTGCTTTTTGTCAGCTTTTCTTGCTAGTTCCTCTCTTCTGATTCAAGCTGGATTCCTTCTTCTTTAAAGGTTCCCTAACTTGGACTTGCTAGCCCAGCCCTGGTATTTAGAATAGAGGTTTGGGTTTGAGCTGAGGAAAGGTTCTTACAGGAGGTAGTAAGAAAGGGTATACAAGATAGGGTGGATTTCTCTTTTGTGTTCAAACTCTCTAAATTGCTGTTGTCTCAGCCCTGTGAACACTGGCTCAATTTCTTTTGTGTATCACAACTCCTTGAAATGTTGACATTGCTTGCTAGTGTTTTTTTTTTCAATTAGAGATTCCAGGTCATGCATGGCAGGTTTTGTTTGTTTGTTTGGGGGGGTTTTGTGTTGTTGTTTTTTTGAGTTGAGGGTCTTACTGTGTCACCCAGGCTGAAGTATAGAGGTGTGACCAAGACTCACCACAGCCTTGACCTTCTTGGGCTCAGGCTATTCTCAGGAGAGTAGCTGGGACTACAAATGCACACCACCGTGCCTGGATAATTTTTTTTATTTTTTGTAGAGACGAGGCCCTTGCTATGTTGCCTAGACTGGTCTTGAACTCTTGAGCTCAAGCAATCCTCCTGCCTCGGCCTCCCAAAGTGCTGGAGTTACCAGTGTGAGCCACCATGCCCAGCCCAAAGTAGAGACTTTTTTTTTTTTTTTGAGTTGGAGTCTCACTCTGTGTCCCAGGCTGGAGTGCAGTGGCATGCTCACGACCACTGCAGCCTCGACCTGCTGGACTCAGGAGATCCTTCTGCTTCAACCTTCCAAGTAGCTGGAACTACAGGCATGCGCTACCACGCTCAGCTTATGATTTGATTTATTGTAGAGATGAGGTCTCACCAAGTTGCCCAGGCTGGACTCGAACCCCTGAATTTAGGCAATCCTCTTGCCTCAGCCTCCCAAAGTGCTGGGATTACAGGCTTGAGCCATCGCGCCTGGTCAGCAGAGGCATTTTTTTTTTTGAGTTGGAGTCTCACTCTGTCGCCCAGACTGGAGTGCAGTGGCCGCTCCCGGCCACCGCAGCCTCGACCCGCTGGGCCCTGGCGATCCTTCCGCCTCAGCCTTCCAAGTAGCCGGAATTACAGGCATACGCTACCACGCCCGGCTGATTTTTTGATTTATTGTAGAGATGAGGTCTTGCTGCCCAGGCAGGTCTCGAACCCGCGGGCTCAGGCAATCCACTCACCTCAGCCTCCCAAAGGCGCGGGATTACAGGCTGAGCCACCGAGCCCGGCTAGCAGAGGCATTTTTAAGACAGTTTTTGAAATAATATCTCCTGAGAGCCTGCTTTATTGTTAATCCCTGTTAAAAGATGTGCCTCCATGAAAGAACCACTTTCTATTTCATTCCACTCTCCCACATAGGCACAAGCTTAGAAACCATCCAAGGAAGACCCACAATTCCCATTGTCTTCAGCTCAGGCTCCTCAGATTGACAAGACTTTCCACTACCTATCCAAACTTACCATCCATGCTTTCCTTTCACGTGCCCCCCCCCCGCCCCACTTTTTTTAAACCACCTTCATCTCTTACCTGGCCTGAGAATTTACCTCCCACTCTGCTCCCCCACTTGTTCCTATCACTCTTCTTGCTGAACAGTCCACTTGGGACTTTCTTAGGCGAGCCTGAGTCACATCCTCCAATGAAGCCCTCTTTGGCTACTACCAAGGATCACTGACACTCCTTTGTCTGAATGCCGGAAGCATTAGTTGTAAACCTTTCATCTTGACAGTAAACTAACTTGTTTTGTCTCTTTCATGAGCTTACTCCTGGTCTTAACTGGATTTTAAAACTACACAGGTTTTACGTGCTACGAATTCAGTAGGTTTTATTCTATTTGTGTTGAAACTGTGGTAGTCTTATTTAACACTTGTTTTAATTTCATGACATAAAAATGAGTAAGTAGATTATTTCCTGTGTTCCTCTTAAGCCAGGGGAATACAATGCTCACTTGACATTATTATTATTATTATTTTGAGTTGGAGTCTCACTCTGTCACCCAGACTGGAGTGCGGTGAACGCTCCCGGCCACCGCAGCCTCGACCTGCTGGGCTCCGGCGATCCTTCCACTCAGCCTTCCAAGTAGCTGGAACTACAGGTGTGCGCTACCACGCCCGGCTTATTTCACTTGACATTATTGAGCCTTTATTCTGACCTGGGCAGTAAGTTCAGAGTTGTAGATAAGAAGACGAATAAGCAGATTCCTACCCCTGAACTTAGTTTAGGAGGACTGATGGATAAGCAGCGCTTTACAGCAAAATTCGGCAAAGTGCACTGAAGAGCTATGTTGGCAAAGAAGGGAAGAATTATGCTTACTGGGGCCCGGAAAGGCTTCTAGAGCTAACATCTGAAGTGGGACTTCTATTGACCTTTACAAGACGGAGAATCAGGAAAATACACTTATTCCAGGCGGAGGAAGCCGCTTGGTGGAAAACAAACAAAACCACAGAGGTGAGAAAGAGCCGGCGGTTAGGGACCACAGAGGTGACGGCGGCCAGAGTGCAAGATATGCAAGGGAGAGTGTTGGGAGATGAAACTGAAAGATACACAGGCGCCCAAGAGTGAAAGGCCTCCGGTCGGCGGCACGTCCGGGCGCAGCGCTGGAGGAAAAGAGAAGTGGGGATTTTTTTCAATCAAGTTGGCGATTGATACATTCGGACTAATTCTGCCCTGGACATGAGGATAACCAGCAGGGCAGTCCGAGAAGGAGTCAGAGTCACGCGTTGTGAACGGGGACGTGGCGGCCAAACGACTGCACCCACACGCCACCAGAAGTAGGGGCCCGGGGCCCGCCATTCCCACGGGGCCCTGGACCAGAGTAGGGCGGGAATCCGGTCCACGCAACTCGGCGCGCTCGCGGGGACGTGGCGCTTTCCAGCCAATCCCGGCGGCGTGATGGTCGAGCCAATGGCTGCCCGAGGAAGCCACGCGTCAGCGGCGGGCTTGTCGCTGATTGGTCGAGAGGCGGCCGGCGAAGCGGATGAGGGCGGGGCAGGGGCAGCTTCCGGTTGGGCGGTGCTTGCACGCGTGAGCTGAGCGGGTGGGTGTACGGCGGCCTCGGCGGCCGGTCCTGTGGGGGCTACGAGGAAAGGTGAGTACCGTGGTGCTTTGCCCCTTCTCCGCCGCCCCATCCCTGTTCGCTTTCTTTCTGTCCCCGGGCCTCGCTCCCGGCGCGGCATGGGTCTTCCTCCCTCGGGGCCAGTGTCTCCGCTGGCCCCGGGGTCCCAGGCCTGTGCCTGCTTGAGATTCCGGGGCCCTGGGCGCGCCGCCTGGGTGGAGACCGCCGCTCGCCTTCCCGCGCGTTCTGGGCAGTGACCGGTCCCGTGGAGCCCCGGCTCCCGGCTTGGCGTTCTGTTGGGGGCTGTTTTGTGCCTGGCTTGCCGCGTCCTTTTCCTCCGTCTCCGGGCCAAGCCATTCACCGACTCTCGGACTAGAGGGTTATTTTCTGCCTCCTGAAGGTCGGAGGGCATCTGGGTAGTGTCATTGTAGCAGCTCCTGCCACCTCCCACTCACCGGCCTGCTTGTATCTGCCAGTCCCGCCCCAAGGCCACATCCCGGGAGTAGGGTGCATCTGCCAAGAAAGTCGTGTTTGCTGACTTCAGGGGTGCAGAAACTGGGGGAGGGGGTGAATGATGACACGAGGTGATGGCTGTAATTTGAAAGCAAAGCTAAATATTTCGGTTTGGCTACTTTCTTGAGTCACCGACAAAAGATAGTTTAAAAAGCTTTCTTAGGGAATTGTTTGTTTTTTACTTTGTGCTTTTGCTTCTAGCCCCAGATCCTAGTTCTGATTTTTGGCATGCTGCGTTCGGAAGTAAACTTAATTTCCTACAGCTGCCATGATTCAGAATAGAGAGTGGTTTGCAAGCAGCTTCAAAAGCTGCTTTTGCATCAAGGCAAAAGTGTCCTGGGTCTCCTGCTAAAACTTTTGGGCCTTTGATCTAAATTCCTAAATACATGAAATCCCAGAATAGTGCCTTTGAAAACTGAATTGCATTCATTTCCTGGCATGGGCCAGAAAGTCAATGTTAATTAATTGGGAATAAGGTCGCTTGTAGTTTGTTTTTGTTCTAGCGGGTTTTCAACTTGGAGGTAGAGAACCTTACGATCCTTGAAAAATTCTTCTTTGCCATAGAATGGAACTTGACACAGGCAAATGCATGTTTGACCTCATTTGCTAGATTTAATTAACCAAGTACCAAACAATAGTCATCACTGAAGAATTTGTGTAGTATAGTCTAAATGAGGGGCCAGAAATAACCCATAAATTCTGTTTGTGGGTCAAAAGAGGCCTCAGCATTTGCTGAGGCCTTAAAGCTGAGGTTTTACAGTGATTCGGGTGTCCAGTGGGGTTCTTATGAGAATCATGACTAGGAGAACCATATTTTGAGTATGCCCGAGTGGATGTTACTCACACCAACTCATCACTCTCATTGTAATCATCGGTTGCTTTCATTCATCCAGTGATGTGTCAAGAGATACTTATGGATGGCACTGTATATACATTGGCCCGGTAGAGGCGATCAGTACATTGGTGTTTTTATTTTTTAAGAGATGGGATTCTCAGAATGTTGCCCAGGTGGAATCTCAACCTCCTGAGTAGCTGGGACTAGCGGCACACACCCTGCACTCTAGTACATTGGTGTTCACACACATTTTCTTTTCTTTTTTTTTTTTTTGTTTTTTGAGTCAAGGTCTCACTCTCACCCAGGCTGGAGTGCAGTGGCGTGATCACGGCTCACTACAGCCTCAACCTCCTGGGCTCAAGCCATCCTCCTGCATTAACCTCCCAAGTAGCTGGATCTACAGGCACATGCCACCATGCCTGGCTAATTTTTTGATTTTGTAGAGACAAGTTCTTGCTATGTTGCTCAGGCTGGTCTCGAATGCCTGGGCTCAGGCAGTGCTCTCATCTTGGTCCCAAAGTGCTGGAATTACAGGCACAAGTCACCACTCCTGGCCAACACACATTTTCTGTAACATGGATGTGCCAGGGATGTTGGAATGACAGAGGTATAGGCAGGGATAGCCATTGGAAATGCTTGCTAGGCAATAAGGCCCATGATCCTCTCTCTATGAACTCTTAAATATGGTTGTTGCTGATGCTGTAATTTATGTATTAGAGTTGAGACAGCTGAAATAACACTTTTGCCTTTTGCTGACCGATAGCCAGATCCAGTAAAGTGAATTGGAGTTTGGAGAGCATAGACAGGTCTGAACCACATTGCTGCCAAGTACTGCCCAGTCCAGTAAAATGTATTAGTATCAGCCGGGCTCGGTGGCTCAGCCTGTAATCCTGCGCCTTTGGGAGGCTGAGGTGAGTGGATTGCCTGAACCCGCGGGGCTCGAGACCCGCCT